AGGCCTTGGACTGGAACACCCCAGACGGTACTGGGCTGGCCAGTTTAGGGGAGCTGCTGACGTCGTGTTGCGGTAGTCGGTGCAAGCTGAAAGTGGCATTCGCAAAGAGGAAGCGTCACGCAGTGTTTTGTTTGATCTCAGGAAGTTCTACGGCCATATTTTTTGGTCTGAGTTCGAAGAGCGTTGCAGCAAGCATCGCTTCCCCATGGTCATTGCCAGGCTCAGTGTCTATGCCCATCGTTGCGGTCGCTTCCTGTACCTCGGAGGCTGGCTGCAAGGCTCCTACGTTTGTGCCAACCTCGTGATCACTGGCTGTTCTATGGCCACCATCATTCGTGCGTTCTGTGTGTTGATGGGTACGACAAGCTGCGGTCTGCTCCGCGTCTCGACATCGACATGTACATCGACGACCAAGGGCTGCCATGTACGGGCAAGGCGTCGGGTGTGGTCTCTTCGGCCGTCAAGGTATCCGTGGCTCTTTACGACAATGCTAGTGAGATTTCGATTGTTCGTTTGCCAGCTCGAAGGCTGCCTGTGTCGAGGTCCCGGATGCTCTCATCCCAGCCATCTGGGAGGCACTTTCTCGGATTCAGCTGTCAATTTAGATGTCGATTGCACGGTCAGTCTGCTTCTTAGGCGCACACTTGTTTCCGTGGTCAGGCCCGTCTGCAAACTTAGCTCGCTGACGTCGGCCGCCGTCCTCGACGGAGACCCCTGTTGGAGGATGGCGATGGCTCCCATCTCCAAGACCTCTTCGCATTTCTTCAGGAGCTTTTCGGCACCCCGCCGACGGATCCCCCCTTCCCCTCACGAAAACCGACGAAGGTCCTTTCATTGTGTGCCATAGGGAGTCGTTGGAGCTCGAATGTGATGGGAGGGGGCTGGCCTTAGGGGTCGCTTTTCATGGATGGCTCGTGCTCTAGGCACGTGGTCGAGCCTAGACCACGTGCCTAGACAGCTCCTTGACCGTCAAGGAGCCGTCTGGGGCTGCGAGCTGTGTTTGTACAGTCGGGGCCCTGAAGAAGGAACCCTTTCCGTTGGGGAGGGGCTCCGCGTTCCTTAAGTGCTTCACAGCTTGCCTCAGGTTTTCCTGATGTTTTTCGATCGGAAATCGAAGTTTAACTTATGGAAAAAATGGGCCTCGTTCCTTATTTAGGGTCCCTTAGGTGCACGCCCCGACTGTATTACAGCCCCCCAGGGTGACTTTTTGTAGCGGTGTTTAGGCTCCCCGTCTGGGGCCCTCACCCCCAGACTTCTCCGATGGGGCTGAGTTTCGTGCGTGCATGGGTCAGTGTTCTCTCGGGTAGGTTCGACCACTCCACCGCCTAGTCGGGGCCCTGAAGAGGGAACCCTTTTCGTTGTGAGGTGCTCGGTGTTCCTTGATTGTTGTGCAATTTGCCTTAGGTTCCCCAAAGGTTTTCCATAGGAAGTCGAATATTAATTTTTGGGAGAAAGGGACCTCGTTCCTTATTTAGGGTTCCTTAGGGCAACGCCCCGACTGTATTCTGATTGCAGAGATGTGGTTAAGTTGGCTAACAGGTCGAACCCCGAGTAGCTGTCACCCAAACGCACGTATTCGGGTGTTTTCTTCCAGAATCATATGCGCATTTCGGGCATCTGCTCTCAGTAGGGCGTGGCAGTTTCCCCCCCCCCCCCCCCCCTTCGAAAACCCCCTTAGAATCCCCCTCAAGGGGGGTTATGGGGGTTTTCCCACTTCCCTCATTTGTTTTGTTGGAGGGTTCGGTTTCTTTGCCCTCGGGCCCCCCTCTCAGGGAGGGTTTTCCTGGGGAGGGTCCCCCCCGAGCCCCCCTTCAAGGTTTTTTCGACGGGATCAGGGCGTTTTTTCTCCTGGGCCCCCTTTTCAGGGATTTTTTTTGGGAGTTGGCGGGGAACTGGTAGGGCGTTTTCCTTCCGGACCTCCCCCTCAAGAGGGGGGCTTGCTTGGGGGGGCCAGGGGAGCTTTACTTCGGAATCACCCTCTCAGGGTTTTTGTTGACAGGTTAGGCGGTGTTATGGAGGTTCCCCCCCCGGACTCCCATTTGGGGGGAAAGCCCCCCTAACTCCTCCTAGCCCCTCCAGAAACCTCTCCTGATGGGGGCTCAGGGGAAAAAACATTCCTAACCTTCGTTTGCCGCCCTCCAAAAACTTTCCCTGAGGGGGAACTTCGAGGGAACATCTTTTTCACCCGCCTGACCATCCGCAAAACCCTCCTGCGGGGAGGTTCTGGGGGAAAAACCCACGTACCCCCCAAGAGCCCTCAAGAGCCCCTAAAAACCTCTCTGAGGGGGCATTTCTTGAGGGGGGAGGTCCGGGGGAAAAACCTTTCATCAATCATTCCTAAACCTCCCAAACAATTGCCTGCTGAGGAGTCGGGGGGGAAATCGCCCTAAACCTTCCACACTAAAACAACCTTCTAAAGGGGAGCCCCCCCCAGCCCCATTAAAACTCTTCCTGGGGAGGGGGGTCCGGGGGGTAAACATCCCCCCCACGCATGGGGCATGAGGAGGGGTTTTCCAGGGGGTGTCCCCCGAATTGTAGTTTCTGGGGTTGGCCAGGAAAAACCTCCCTACTCCTTTCCAGAACCTTCCTTGAAGGGGAGGGGGTAGAGGGGAACAGCTGTCCGAACTATTTCCCGAATCCCTTCTAATGAGGTTTTAGGGGAGTGTTTGGGACAAAATCTCCTTGAGGGGGGGGTTCTAGGATGTTTTTTCAGAGAGGTTTCAGATGACAGTATTGTTTTCTACTTGGGCGCCCCTCAACAAACAATCCAACCCTACCCCCTTTCCCCCCTGGCCCAGGACTCCCCCCTGAACCCTGAGTGGGTGGTTAGGGGAACTTCCACACCGCCTTGTCTGTTCTTGTGTGAATGTCGCCGCTCATCGAGATCTCGACGAGGCTGGGATTGACGCGCACGAGAAGTGGTTGCGTCAAGGAAACTGGCAGGCCAATGTCGGCGCCAAGCATGCTGCATGCCGTTGGCCTGCGCCCGAACGATCCAAGGCTTCTTGTTGCGGCTGGCGCCAATGTCGCACGAGCCACTGCCACCTTGAAGCAGGCAGCATGCATTTTGCACATGTGGCCTAACGTTGACCTCGGTGGAGCCGACAGGGATCCTTCGACCACTGCTCCCTCTCACGAGGAGCATAGCTGGGTTTGGTGGTCTGGGGTGTGGAGGTGTTCGGTTTGTCTCCGTGGGAAGCGTTCGTTCTCCAGGCCTCCTGCGGGTATCTGTCCGAATGGCTCCAGGTTGCGCGCCTCGCGTCAAGACTCTTGGCCATGGCACGGTGGCGTTTGACTGCTCTGACCGTTCTGTGTGTATTCTTTGTTATCTGTCTGCGGTGCAAGTGCCATTGCTCGGGAGGCTCCGTCAGAAGCCTAACTGCCACATGCACTCCTCCTTCCCGCGCTGCTCATTATGGTTGGCTTGCCCTATGTAAAGCTCGGCGTCCCCATTAGAGTAAGCAGACGCGCGGGATCACAGCTGACACTGACAACTGCATCCGGTGCGTCAGCACTTTCTTTTCGGGCAACCCGCCACAGGCTGATCCTTCTTGGCATGAGGTCTCTGTGCAGGGCGGGGGCGGCGCTGTACCTTCAGGGGTCACCCCTAGCCACGCCTGATGTCGGTGCCGTGGCCAGCGCTCCTTCCGTGCTTGGCGGCAGAATGCAGCTCTTGTGGTAGTCGAAGCCCTCCGAGAGAGGCTTAGAGGGGTAAGATAACCTCTAGCTCGTCGCTGCCACCCTTTCTGCGGAGCCTGACGACTCCGACTGACGTTTGCGGTGCAGGGGGCTTGTCTCAATCCCGCCGAAGCTCTTCCTTGACTTCAAGGCTGGGCTTCACTCGTTTGAGGCTGGCCCTTTCATGCCTTTTCGGCGCCGGACTCCCCTGGGTTTCGGCGCCTCTCAGGTTGCTGCCTCTCCCTCCGCAGTAGCAGGCCTGTTGCCAGCCTAATCTTGGCTGGTTTGGGAGGCGCCTGAGCGTGGAGCCAAAACAAAAATATGCAGTACCCAGCAGTTGCAGATAAGAGTGAGGCGGCGGGCGCGGGTTGGGTCGCGGGTGGGTCGCGCTGTATGCCGCGGGTGGGTCGCGGGATGGGTTGCGGATTGGTTGCGGGTGGGTCGGGGGTGGGTCACGGGTGGGTCGCGGATGGGTCGCGCGTGGGTCGCGGGTGATCGCGGGTGGGTCGCGGGTTGGGTCGCGGGTGGGTCGCGGGCGGGTCGCGCTGTGTGTCGCGGGTGGGTCGCGGGTTGGTCGCGGGCGGGTCGCGGGGTGGGTCGCGTGTGGGTCGCGGGTGGGTCGCGCTGTGTGTCGCGGGTGGGTCGTGGGTGGGTCACGGGTGGGTCGCGGGGTGGGTCGCGGGTGGGTCGCGGGTGGGTCCCGGGGTGGGCCGCGGGTCGGTCGCGGGTGGGTCGCGGGTGGGTCGCGGGTGGGTCGCGGGTGGGTCGCGGGCCGGGTCGCGGGTTGGGTGGCGGGCGGGACGACGACAAGAAACAATAAGCAACATCATCAACAGCAGTAACAACAATAACCACAATCCGCATCGTGGAAGCCCACTTCAGCCACGCACCCAGGGACAGTGAATGACCGTTCGACCCCCTCACTCTGATGTGTCTTCTTCTTCTCCCTTCTCTTCTTTCGCTCGTCCCTCGTTCTCGTTTTCATCATCGTTCTCGTTCTTGTTCACGCTTTTGTTCTTCTTTTCCTATGCCTCCGCCTTCTTCGCCCTGTAATGATGATCCCCATCTTCGTCCGCGTCCTCGTCAGCCTCGCCCTCGTCGTCATCGTTTTGTGTTGGTGTTGGTAATCGTCGTCCTCACCGTCGTCCTCTGGTCGCCGCCGCCCTCGTCCTCGTCCCCGTCGTCGTCCCCGTCGTCCTACGCGTCGTCGTCGTCGCTGCCCGTTGTCGTCCTACTCGTCCTCGTCGTCGTCGCTGCCCATCGTCGTCCTGCTCGTCGTCGCCGTCGCCCGCCGTCGGTTGTCGCCCGTCTCCCCCCCCGAGGTCCAGCGGCGCCCCTGGCGGGCGCCAGCGGGGCCGTCGCGCCTTGCCCCAGGCCCCCGGGCAGGGCGCGCCGGAGATCGCGATCGTGGGCCTGGCGGGCCAGAGCCTCGGCGCACGCCAGTCGGGCGGCATCCCCCGTCTACCCCTCTCCGCGCCAGCGAAGCCCAGACGGACCAGGGTCCGTCGGGCAGGCTTTGCTGCTGTGCAGGTGCCCGTTGCCAGGCTTCTCCGCCGCCGATAGGCATTGTGGCAGGGGCCGAGTTGCCGCGGCGGGAGAAAGAGATGCAATGCCTTGACAGTAGACGAGCCGATCCGGCAACATTTTGTCTTACACGCTTGCCGTGTTGTTTTCCCTCCTTATATTTTTCTTTTTCGTAGCAATAAAATTGACAAAACGAGCAAGCCCGATGCAGCAAAAACAGGCCGACGGGCGGCGCCTCTCGACGTAGCCACGGAGCTCCCCGCCCGCCGCGAACGCCATGACGAGGACGGCGGAGTCCTGGTGGTCCTTTCTCGGGACGAGGGCCCGAGGCCGCCGGCGCACGGCGCACGGCGCACGGCCGCCGGCGCCGTGGTCGTTCTCCGGAGGGGCTCAGAGTTTCGGGCCCTTTGTGCCGGGCCCCCTGCTCGTGGCCGAGGCCTTGCCGTGGCCGGGAGGCCCCCATCGCCCCACCCTGTCCAGCGCTCCTGATTCGGGAGCCTCGAGACGGGGGTCAACGCCAAGGGGGGTCAGCCAGGGCACCGGATCCTGCAGGATCCTGCGAAGACCCCCTCTGGCTGACCCGGGTTAGCGAGCCGCTCGTGGCCGCGGGGCGGCCGCGCCTGCTGGCTGACCCGGGTTTGCGAAGCCCTGCGCTGCAGTTTTTTTTCCTGCATTGCAGTTTTTTTGGTTTCCTGCTGACCCGGGTCTGGACTGACCTGGGTCAGAAGATCCCCGACTTATGTCGGCGGCGAGCGAGGGAGGGAAACGAGAAGGAGAAGGCTGTCTCAGAGGGCGGCGGGACTTCTCAGAAGCCCTTGCGCCTTCTCAGGAGTTTTTTTTGCTGGCTTCGGGGAAGGCTCAGAAAACTTCTCAGAAGGCCAGGGGACTTCCGAACCTTCCGAGAAGGCCTTCTCCTTCTCACTTCCCCCTCGCTCGCCGCCGATTATGGCAGCACGATGACTGAGGGGAACGCCTGCCAGCCAGTGCCCCGCGGAAGTTTCTTATCCCCCGATGGCACTCCTGGGCCCATGGAAGCCCTGGGGCACCTCAGGAAGCTCAAAGCTCGACGACCAAAGTGCCCTGGAGTTTTTACAGCAAGAGTTCTTATCGCATGTGTCTGCTTTAGGCTCGGGGGGAGTGCGTCGCCCACCAAGCGCCCATTCGTTGCCGACATGGGGCCTGATAGCCCACCCCGCCCAGGAGCCTGCGTGGGGTTTCGCTATCGGGGGCCTATCGCCGATCTATCGGCGCGGCGATGTATTGCCGATTCCAGGTCATTGTTTCCCCCCCTGAGCTGGTCCCCCCTTTCCTTCCCCCTCATGGGACTGGAGGGGGAGGAGGACGATGAGGAGGAGGAGGAGGAGGAGGAGGAGGAGGAGGAGGAGGAGGAGGAGGAGGAGGAGGAGGAGGAGCAGGAGGAGGAGGAGGAGGAGGAGAGAGGAGAGAGGAGGAGGAGGAGGAGGAGGAGGAGGAGGAGGAGGAGGAGGAGGAGGAGGAGGAGGAGGAGGGAGGAGGGAGGAGGAGGAGGGAGGAGGAGGAGGAGGAGGAGGAGGAGGAGGAGGCCCTCGGCGGCCCTATCGGCCGCCCTGGGAGGCCCTCCGGAGGCCCTCCGGTGGCCCTCGGCGGCCGCCGTGGCTCTCGGGCGGCCCGCCGGCGGCCTCCCCGCGATCGAGGGCGCGGGCGCCCGCCGCGGCGGCGCGCCGAGGCCGCTTCCCGGGCGCCGTTGACGCGGACGCCTTCTGGCAGGCCGCCTCCCGGGAGGGAGCCGAGCGGGCAGGGAGTCGAGGGGCAGCGGGGGCGTGCCGCGGAGCCCTCCCCGAGCTGCGGGGCCTTGGAGCTTGGCCTCCTCCTCCTCCTCCTCCTCCTGCTCCTGCCCCTCCTCCTCCTCCTCCTCCTCCTCCTCCTCCTCCACCTGCTTCTTCTCGTCCTCCTCCTCCTCCTCCTTCTCCTCCCCCTCCTTCTCCTCCTACTTCTCCTCCGCCTCCTCCGCCTCCTCCTCCTCCTCCCGACTCCTTCTGGAGCGGTCAGGGAGCTGAGCTAAACCATGGGACCCAGTGTCAAAGGCAAACTTACGCCCTCTGCAAGCGCCGACCCGCGTCGGGCATCAAGGCACTCAAGAACATGATCAGGATGCTGGCAGGGAGGCGGATGAAGAACAACGGACTTCCGCGCAGTTTTCTTGGATCGGCGCTGGGCCCCCCTGGCGGCGCCGCGGAGCTCGGAAGCTTTATGCCTAGGTAGTTGTTTCTTCCTCTACGGATGGAGACACACTTGGTCCCAGTGACCACTTGACCTAAAATTGGGCAGGTGCCGGGGTCGCGGTTGTAGACGGGAGGAGGGAGGGAGGGCGGGGGGAGGTCGGGCTCCGCTTCGAGGGGTCAGGTCAGCCTTACGCTGTCTGATCAGTCCAAGGCGGGGAGGGGGAGGAGGGAGGGTGGAGGGTGGAGGAGGGGGCCCACGGAGGGGAAGATGTTTGACGTTTTTTGTGGTTCTTGTTCGGACAGACGCCCCAAGGCCCCGGGGGCCTCGGGGGACCTCCAGGGATCTCCAGGGAGGTTAGGGTAGAAACGCGGCGGAGGAGGGGGAGGAGGAGGAGACGAGGAGGAGGAGGAGGAGGACAGAGGAGGAGGAGGACAGAGGAGGAGGAGGAGGAGGAGGAGGAGGAGGAGGACAGAGGAGGAGGAGGAGGAGGAGGAGGAGGAGGAGGACGGAGGAGGAGGACGGAGGAGGAGGAGGCGGAGGAGGAGGAGGAGGAGGAAAACCAGTGCAAACCCATGACTCATCAACGATGTTACAATGAACCATCCCTCCAAGTTTCTTCTTTATAGGCCCCTACAAGGGTTCATTTTCACTGAGGGAAGTGCCCCGTGGGAGGGCAACTGTTTGAACATTTTCAACAGTGCCAGAACACCCATCCTGGGAATCCAACGCCGCAGACCGCCATTACTGTCGCGTCTTGACGATCCTGAATCGTGCTCGAATGCCTTTCCTGGGACTTCAACACCGCGAATCCACGTCACTTTTGCGCCCTGAGAGTCCGACATCGTGCCAAAACACAAATTTCTGGGACGGTAGCCATGGTAATCCTTGAAACGGATATAAGCTCTCAGAACGAATGTGCGCGGCGACAAGGCGAGAGCCACATTTGAAAAGCAATCGCCTTCCATTCGTGAAACTTTTGAAGCGACCATGGCGAGAGCCACATTCTGAAAGCGGACCGCCCTCCATCCGTGAAGCTCTTGTATTCTACGACGGATGTGCGCGTCGCTCAGGCGAGAGCCACATTTTGAAAACCACCCGCCCTCCTTTCGTGAAGCTGTTGCACATTCTAGACGCTTCGCGTAACCCCATCAGTCTCGCCTGTGCCCCAGACGTGCTTGCCCCGCTTCCTGGACTCTTCCTTGGAGCCGCCAATCGAAAAAGTAACCCCACCAGCCCTTTCAGAAACGATGCCCAGAGGAATTGCCTCGATCAGGGAAGTGGGCAGCACACAGAGGACGGGCCCCCCAGTGGAGGCCTCTTGGAGCGTCTTGGGTGCCCGGAGAGCTTCTTGGGGCCTCTTGGGGGTCTCTTGGGAACATCTCGGGGGCCTCTTGGGCGCCTGTTGGGGCCTCCTGGGCGTCTCTTGGGGCCCTCTTGAAGCCTTTGGATCCTTGGGAGCGCTCTTCGGGCCATCTTGGAGGACACCGATCAAACAATAAGCGATCATTAGGTAGCATTGCCCCTCGGGAGCCCAAACAATCGCCTCTTGGGGCGCTCTTTGGGGCGCTCTTGGAGCGCTCTTAGGCGCTCTTGGGGCCGTCTTGGGGCTCTCTTGAGCCTCTCTTGGAGCCCTCTTGGGCCATCTTGGAGCCATCTTGAGGCCTCGGATGGCCATCGGAAGCGAGCAGGCGAGAAAGCCAAACACATAGATGTTCCTAAGGTTTTGGCCTCTTCGGGGCCTCCTGGGGGAGCTCTTTGGCCACTTGGAGCCGTCTTGGAGCGGTCTTGGGGCATCTTGGAGCATCGTGGGAACCATTATGAGACATCTTGGGATATCTTGAGCCATCTTGGAGGTCATCTTGGGCTCTCCCAGGCGCTCTTGGAGTCATCTTAATCAGTGCCCCGCCCCCAAGAAGCCAACATGTGGCTACAACCTTAGTAACATCAACGATTTGGCATTTTCGCCGAGGCCTCTTGGAGCATCTTGGGTGCCTCTGGGGGGTCTCTTGGGGCCTCTTGGGGGTTTCTTGGGAGCCTCTTGGGGGCATCCTGGGGGCCTCTTGGGGCTTCCTGGCCACCTCTTGGGGCCCTCTTGGGGCGCCCTTTGGAGCCTTGGGGGCCATCTTTGGACCATCTTGGGCGAGATCGATCACAGGAGGGGGGGTCCCTAATTAGGGTCCCCCCCTCAGGAGGCCAAAATGGGGCCAACACCTTAGTAACACCAATGATTTTGGCTTCCTGGCCGAGGCCGTTTTGGACGCTCCGACGACTCGCAGAACCCCTTGTCCAGGTCCATGGGGGGGGAGTAGGGGGAGGGGTAAACACCTCCCCGAAGGGGAAGAAGGAGGCGTGGAAGAGGAAACGCCCTCAACCACCTACGCCCAGAGGGCTGGTGGGATTTCAAGCTTCAGGATCATACATGGTGAGGAAATCTCAGGCGAAATGTCGGGCCCGCCCTGTCGGCTGGCCTCGGGGTGCGACAGGGAGGAGTTATGTAAAGGAAAAGGAAGGGAGGATGTGGATGCGGATGCGGATGCGGATGCGGATGCGGATGCGGACGCGGAGGAGGAGGAGGAGAAGGAGGAGGAGGAGGAGGAGGAGGAGGAGGAGGAGGGGGAGGGAGGAGGAGGAGGAGGAGGAGGAGGCGGAGGAGGAAGAGGAGGAGGAGGAGGAAGAGGAGGAGGAGGCGTAGGAGAAGGAGGCGGAGGAGGGGGGAGGAGGAGGAGGAGGAGGAGCAGGAGGAGGAGGAGGAGGAGGATGCAGCCCTCAACACGAAGCGGCGCCGCCTCAGAACATCGTCAAGGGGGCAGTGTCGATGACCACGTTCTCGAAGGAGACCGCCCGGCCGGCTCCTGGCGGGGGGCGGCGGAGGCCTCGCGTGCCCCTTCTCCGGCCGCTCGGACTCGAGCACTGCGGACGGCAAGCCCGCTGACCCTCGGCCACGCGCAGAGGGGGGCAGGGGGAGGGGGGAAGGCTTCTTAGAAGCAACCATGCTTCTTAGAAGGCGCGGACCTTACCAGTACACACATCTATATATATATATATATATATATGTGTATAGATATAGATATTTTGGTACATGCTTATATCTCTCTCTATATATATACATGGAAGGCCCGCGCGTTCTAAGAAGCGACCTCCTTCTAAGAAGCCTTCCCCCCTCCCCCTACGCCCCTCTGCGCGCCGCCGAGACCCGCGGGACCTGCCCGGTGGGACGCGGGGAGGTGCGCAGCAAGCGCAGCGTCGGCAGGCCTTCCGACGGACGGGAGGGGGTGAGTGCGAGCCGAGCGGGCGCAGGCCCCGCCCTGCTCCCCCGCCCGCCCCCCGCTCTCGGCCTGCACGCAGGGGCCGCTGGGGGCGCGGGCCCGGACGCTGGAGGCGCTCGGGGGCGGGCGGATCCCGTGCAGCCTCGGGTTAAGTCGGGCCTCTCCCCTACAGGGGGATTTTCGACGAAAAATAAAAAATACCCCCAGCATAGTCCAAAAATAAGCCAAAAATAGTATTGAGACTATTCATTGTGTACTTTTTCGCCTTTTTGGGATATTTTTGGGGTATCTTTTATTTTTCTTCGAAGATCCCCCTGTAGGGGGACAGGCCCGACTTAAGCCTCGGGGCCCGTGGCCCCGGAGGGCGAGTCCCAGGTGGAGGCCCGAGTCCCCCCCTCCCCTCCCCCCCCCCCTCTGCGGCGCGCGCACAGCGAGGGGGGCGGCCTTGTGCGAAGGCGTGGGGGCTCATCCGGAGGCATCGCAAGCCTCTGGTGTCTCAGACGCCTGCGGCGCATCGCCGCCGCCCCCTGCCCTTTTTGGAGGCGCCTGCGTGGCCGGAGGTTGGGTTCGAGCTTGGCGAAGCTATCGGGCCACGCGTTCCCCGAGTGGGTTTCGAAAGCTTTCGGGGAATACGGAGTCGGGCGAGCTATCGGACCAGTTGGTTTCCGAGCTTTCGGGTTTCCTGGAGGACGTCTTGGAGGGCTCTTGGGCCGTTTTTCTGACTGCCCAAGTGGTCCCCAAGGTCACCCCAAGATCGCCCAAGAGGCCTCCTGGAGGACCTCTTGGAGGCCTTTTGGGCCGTCCCGGGCCATCTTGAGACCATCTTGGGCCGTCTTGGGTGCATCTTGGGCCGTCTTGGAAACATGTGCAAACCATCTTGGGCTCTCTTGGGGCCATCGTGGCTATCTTGGAAACCATCTTGGCTGTCTTGGAGGCCATCTTGGGGCCGTCTGGCGCGGGAAGACCGACGACCTGGAGAGCTTACGGGTCCTTCTTCCGTGCCGGCGGGACGGGCCGAAGCCCCAGGGGGAGTTCTACAAGAACCAAAAGCGAAAGGATCTAGCACGCCGGGCACCCCTGTGGCAAGCACACAGGGGGCGGCGGATCGAAGACGCCTGCGGCGAATCACCGCCGCCCCCTGCCTTTGTGGAAGCGCCTATGTGGCCGAACGTTGAGGCCAGACCTGCCAAGCTATCGGACCATGTGTTCCCCGAATCTGTTTGGAAAGCCTTCGGGCAACACGTGGATCATCTTGGCCGTCTGGAGGCCATTTTGACCCTTTCGGGCCTTGTTGGAGGACGTCTTGGAGGGCTCTTGGACCGTCTTGGAGGCCATTTTGAGCGTCTTGGAGACCTCTTGGGCCGTCTTGGGAGCCTCTTGGGGCCGTGTCTTGGGGGCACTTGGGCCGTCTCGGGCCGTCGGAAGGCAGAAAAAAAGCAAATGCCACAGTCCTTCAAAAACCCATGGGAAATCAATGATTTTGGCCTTTTCGGGCCTTCCTGGAGGCCCTCTTGGAGGCCTCTTGGGCCGTCTTGGGCCAAGGGCCATGTTCGGCCGTCTTGGTGGGCTCCTGGTCCGTCTGACGCCGTCGGAAGCCGTTTGGGGGGCCTCTATGGGCCGACTTGGGGCCCTCTTGGAATGCTCCAGGGCAGTCTTGGAGGCCAGCTTGGGCGTCTTGAAGCCCTCCTGTGCCGTCTTGGGGGCCTCTTGAGGCCGTCTTGGGGCCCTCTTGGGCCGTTCTGGGGCCATTTTGGAGGCCTCTTGGGTGATCTTTCGGCGATCTTTGGGGGCTCTTGGGCCGTCTCGGGCCGTCGGAAGGCCGAAAAAAAGGAAATGTCAAAATCCGTCAAAAACCTTCGGAAAATCAAGGTTGTTGGCCTCTTCTGGCCTTTCTGGAGGCCCTCTTGGGGGCCTCTTGGGCCGTCTTGGGCCAGCTTCGAGCCATCTTCGGCCATCTTGGTGGGTTCTTGGCACGTCTGACGCCGTCGGGAGCCGTCTTCGGGGCCTTTCTGGGCCGACTGGGGGCCCTCTTGGGGCGCTTCGGGGCCGTCTTGGAGGCCATCTTGGGCGTCTTGGAGGTCATCTTGGGCGTGTTGGAGGCCTCTTGGGCCGTTTTGGGGCCCTCTTGGGGCCGTCTTGGAGGCCACTTGGGCCGTCATGGGGTCCTCTTGGGGGCCTCTTGGGCGATCTTGGGGGCCTCTTGGGCCGTCCTGAGCCGTCGGAATGCCGAGAAGAGGCAAATGCCAAAATCCTTCAAGAACCTAAGGAAAATCAATGATTTGTGCCTCTTCGGGCCCTCCTGGAGGAACTCTTGGAGGCCTCTTGGGCCGTCTTGGAGGCCTCTGGGGGGCTTCTTGGGCCGTCTTGGGCCCATCTTGGTCGGACTTGGAGGCCATCTTGGGCCATCTTCGCGATTTGTTGAGGATGTCCCGAGCGAAACGGCCGTTTTTGGCGTTTGCAACCGGGTCTTCTGGGTGGCTGGCGGGACGCGCTGGAGCCCCAGGGGGAGTTCTTTTGGAAAAAGAACCAAGACCCAAACCGAGAGGATTAACACGCCAGGCACCCCTTTGATGAATTAACAGGGGGTGGCGGATCGAAGACACCTACGGCGAATCACCGCCGCCCCCTGCCTTTGTGGAAGCGCCTATGTGGCCGAACGTTGAGGCCAGACCTGCCAAGCTATCGGACCATGTGTTCCCCGAATCGGTTTGGAAAGCCTTCGGGGAACACGTGGGCATCTTGAATGTCATCTTGGCCGTTTGGAGGCCATTTTGACCCTTGCGGGCCTTGTTGGAGGACGTCTTGGAGGGCTCGTGGGCCGTCTTGAAGGCCATCTTGAGCGTTTTGGAGGCCTCGTGGGCCGTCTTGGGGGCCTTTGGGGCCGTCTTGGGCGATCTTGGGGGGCAGTTGGGCCGTCTCGGGCCGTCGGAAGGCCGAACAAAAAGCAAATGCCACAATCCTTCGATAATTGTCCAGGGAAATCAATGATTTTGGCCTTTGCGGGCCTTCCTGGAGCCCTCTTGGAGGCCTCTTGGGCCGTCTTGGGCCATCTTAAGGCCATCTTCGGCCGTCATGGTGGGCTCCTGGCACGTCTGACGCCGTCGGAAGCCGTTTGGGGGGCCTCTCTGGGCCGACTTGGGGTCCTCTTGGGGCGCTTCGGGGCCGTCTTAGAGGTCATCTTGGGCGTGTTGGAGGCCTCTTGGGCCGTCTTGGGGCCCTCTTGGGGCCGTCTTGGGGGCCTCTTGGGCCGTCATGGGGCCATCTTGGAGGCCTCTTGGGCGATCTTGGGGCGACCTTGAGGGCCTCTTGGGCCGTCTTGGGCCGTCGGAAAGCCGAAAAGGCGCAAATACCAAAATCCTTCAAACACCTAAGGAAAATCAAGGATTTTGGCCTCTTCGGGCCTTCCTGGAGGACCTCTTGGAGGCCTCTTGGGCCGTCTTGGAGGCCTCTTGGGAGCTTCTTGGGCCGTTTTGGGCCATCTTGAGGCCATCTTAGGGCGTCTTGGGTGCACCTTGGGCCGTCTTGGAGGCATCTTGGGGCCATCTTAGCCGTCTTGGAGGCCATCTTGGCCCTCTTGGAGGCGTCTTGGATGCCATCCTGGGCCGTCGTGGGGACCGTCTGGAACCGAAAAACCCTTTACAATCACCTCTGGGCAAATTTTCGGCATCCTTCCGGGTGGCTGGCGGGACGGGCCGAAGCCCCAGGGGGAGTTCTTTTGGAAAAAGAACCCAAACCAAAAGCCACGCCAGGCAACCCTTTGATAAATCAAAAGGGGTTGGCGGATCGAAGACGCCTACGGCGAATCACCGCCGCCCCCTGCCTTTGTGGAAGCGCCTATGTGGCCGAATGTTGAGGTCAGACCTGTCAAGCTATCGGACCATATGTTCCCCGAATCGGTCCGTAGCCATTTTGGCTCAAGGGTGAACGGACCCAAGCTCCGACACAGGCTTGCACCCAAAGGCTCCCGCCCTGAGTTCTTGAGCGCCGGTATACGCATGACACGGGCGCAGTTGGTCCACGAGTGGGCCTCGAAAGTCTCGAGCCCTGAGGAGTTCACTCTGTGTATCCAAAACATACCGAGGCATTGCACGCGGGCTATGCTCTTGCTCGGGATACAAAACGTCGGATTCGGTAACGAGTACGACTATCTCTACTTGCCACGCGACTACACTTCAAACGAAGGCCGTGGGATCGCATTCATCAACATCGTATCCAGGGGAGCAGCTCGGAGATTCGTCGACTTGATGGGCGACCTGGACTTTGCGATCCGCGGCGTGGCAGGCAGCCCCTCCCTGCGAGTGGCAGCTGCAAAGACGCAAGGCTTGGCGAACAACTTGGTGAAGTGGTGCCGCCGGCATTCCGCTCAATCCCGGGACCCCGAGATGCAGCCGTTCGTGCGGGCGTTGAAGGAGATGGGGTTTAGCCACCCTCTCGACCCACTGCTCATGCAGAGCCCCCCGAGCGGCGCGGTGCCCTACCCCGAGTTCGGGCCTGGCGGGTGGCGGACGGCCCCGAGCCATACCAGCCGACCGACCGCTGCTTGCGATGCCACGGCGGACGCAGCAGCCGCCGCCGCACTGGGGGACACAACGACGGCCTGCGCGGTGCCCGCTGCCCCCGAGCTCGAGCCCAGCCACTGGCTGGCGCCCCATGGCCACACCAGTCCGGCGCGCGGCGCCAGCCAGGCCGCGGCGGCCACCGCTGGCCCTGCCGCCGGCGCCCTGGGGGCGCTGACCGGCGTCCGCTCCCTGGGCCGGACGGCGCCTGCCTCGATCGTGGGGTGCTGCGCGTGGGAGCCCGACGCGCGGGGGCCCGGCAACGGTTGGTCGGTGCTGAAGCGCTTCTACGTGTGATTCCCGAGGTCGGACTCGGATTCGTGGCGCTGCCCGCCTCGAGCGAAGCGACGGCTCCCAGGGATGTTCTGAACTAGTTATGATTTTGGGTGACTGCTTGTGCGAACGCACGGATTGTCCCCACGTTCCCCTGATCGGCGATTTTTGAGTGGCCCTGTGATCGGCGGACGAATTTGGGGTGACCGCTTGTGTGAACCCACGGTGACCGCGTAACAGACTGCCACTGTAGTTCCTGATCGGCACACGCTCTATCCGTCCGTCGTGGCGACCCCGACTGGCGCCCGCGCCAGCTCCTCCTTCTGCCACGCCTCTTTGTGCACCCCCAGACTAGGGTGAGAGGTTCGATTTCTGCCGTTCTTTCAAGTCAGCACCCGAACATCTCCAAGCCTTTCTCTTCCTCCTTGTTCTCTTCGTTCTCCTCTTCCTGTCTCTCCCCCCTCTCATGCGAACGCTCCATCCGCTGCCAGGGGGCAGGGCGCCGACGCTTCCTTGTGTGGCGGCCTGGCGCGGGATCTAGCAGTTTCTTGGAGGATCGGGCGCATGCTCGCGCGCGCGAAGAAGGGGGCCTGCAGTGCCGTGGCAGCCCGCTCGGGTAGACGCCCTCGTCGGGTTGGTCGTGCTACATGTTTGTTGGTTGTGGGTGGTGTCTTGGGTGGTGGCTGGGCGGCACTGTAAGCACGGAGTATAACGAGCAATTACTATTTCCAGATTGCCAGGCTGGCGAGAGGCGCGGGCGGCCATCTCTAGCTTTGCACTGGTGTCCAGATGGTTCGCGTAGTTTCGGCCGTGCGACAGGTGTTCTCGTTGAGTATGCAGCACTGCGCGAGGGGCGCGATCATTAGCTGCACGTTTCCGTTGAAGTCGTTCCTCGTTATGCATCAGGCACGACGTTCCCGCAAGCGGAAACAGATTTTAATCTGTGTTCGTCGGACGATCGCCCTTCGGCTGTGTCACCGGCATCGCCACGTTCAGAAGCGAGGCGCTGTGGCGCCACATGAGCGGAACTTTCTTTTAGTTCCCAACCATGTTGTGATGTTGGGTCTTCGTTTTGTGAGGCTGCGCCCCGCTTCTCTTCTCCTGCCTCGCGATTTTCGCAGCTGCATATGGTTGGGCCCTTCCGTCAGACAATTTTGTTTTTTTTCATTCTTCGCGGTCGCCGTGACTTGTTCAGTACAAATGCTTTACAAGTTTTTAGCGCCCACCTGCCATGAAGGGTTGTTTCCAGGTTTCATTATGCTGGCTCGTCAGAGCACGGCCAACGGCACATATCCACACAATTTTCACAACGTTGGCCTACCACCAGGAGTTTGGGAACATTATTTGCACTGCCTGTGGCTATTGCCACGCAGGCGGTCCAGCAGTTGTCCAAGGAGTGCGCGCACCAGCTCAATAAGCATGGCAAGCAGCAGCTGGCGAAAGTGCAGCAGGGTCTGCCACTAGGCACATCAAAGCTTGCCAAGCCACAGAGGGCTCAGTACAGGGTCCTCAAGTAGCTGTTCAACTCTGCCATTGGCTAGAAGGAGCAACATATTTGCAGGATGCGGTTGCATGGGAATTGAGAGCAGGTGGCTCACTACTGGGAGGCCGCAGGCTGGATGCCGCTCCCTCTCAGTCCTAGTCTCCTCATCCTGCTTCCGATGCTTGGTTCACACGCGCACGCCTTGCTCGTCTACATGTCGTGCAGGGCGTGGTGCTATCGCGGGAGTATGACGCAAGCCTGTCGCCGTGCGCGGGTAAAACAAATGTTCCCCGAATCGGTTTGGAAAGCCTTCGGGGAACACGTGGGCATCTTGAAGGTCATCTTGTCCGCCTGGAGGCCATTTTGACAATTTCGGGCCTTCTTGGAGGACGTCTTGGAGGGCTCGTGGGCCGTCTTGGAGGCCATCTCAAGCGTCTGGGAGGCCTCTTGGGCCGTCTTGGGGGCCTCTCGGGGCCGTCTTGGGCGCCTCTTGGGCCGTTCTGGGGCCATCTTGGAGGTCTCTTGGGCGATCCGTGGGCGATCTTTGGGAGCTCTTGGGCCGTATCGGGCCGTCGGAAGGCCGAAACGAAGCAAATGTTAAATCTTTTTGGCCTTGCTGGCCTTCCTGGAGGCCCTCTTGGAGGCCTCTTGGGCCGTCTCGGGCCAGCTGCGAGCCACCTTCGGCCATCTTGGTGGGCTCCTGGCCCGTCTGACGCCGTCGGAAGCCGTTTCGGGGGCCTTTCTGGGCCGACTTGGGGCCCTCTTGAGGTGCTCCATGGCCGTCTTAGAGGCCATCCTGGGCGTCTTCGAGGCCTCTTGGGCCGTCTTGGCGCCCTCTTGCGGCCGTCTTGGGGGCCTCTTGGGCCGTTCTGGGACCATTTTGGAGGCCTCTTGGGCGATCTTGGGGCGATCTTGGGGGCCTTTGGGGCTGTCTTGTCCGTCGGAAAGCCGAAAAGGCGCAAATGCCAAAATCCTTCAAACACCAATGGAAAGTCTAGGATTTGGCCACTGCGGGCCTTCCTGGAGGACCTCTTGGAGGCCTCTTGGGCCGTCTTGGAGGCCTCTTGCGGGCCTGTTGGGCCGTCTTAGACCATATTGAGGCCATCTTGGGCCGTCTTGGATGCATCTTGGGGGCCATCTTAGCCGTCTTGGGGGCCATCTTGGCTGTCTTGGAGGCATCTTGCAGGCCATCTTGGGCCATCTTCGTGATTTTTGAGGATTTCCCGAGCGAAACGGCCGTTTTTGGGGCTTCGCAGCCACCTCTGGGCAAGCGTCCCGGGACCCCGGCGGGACGGGCCGAAGCCTCAGGGAGAGTTCTTTTGGAAAAAGAACCAGAACCAAAACCGTAATAGTCTAGCACGCCAGGCACCCCTTCGATGAATCGACAGGGGGCGGCGGATCTAGCGGCCTTAGGCCCATCCCGCCACCGTGCCTGGGTTGTGGGCTCGGGACGCGCCACGCCCAGGAAGATTTGAGTCCGGGCCCTTTAAATACTCCTCAGGAGTGAGGATTGAGGCTTACAGGATTGGGCCCACGACATGAGGACACGCCCACTGCGTGCTCAGCGGGCACGGTGGTGGATCTGGGCCCGCGTAGATGGGGCCGGAGGATTGCGCCGCATCGCCGATGCATCGGCGGTGCGGCTCGATGTGGATCCCGCTGTGCTTCTCGTCGACGTCGCCGATGCACCGCCGACGTCGTCGATGCATCGTCGATGCATCGTCGATGCATCGTCGATGCATCGTCGATGCGGGGCGATCCTCCACCTCCAACCTCGGCTACTTGGGCCCCATCTCAGAGTTGTCTACAGTAGAAGGCTTCTCATAAGGCAGGAGGGCGTCTGAGAGGCCCCCTGCCTTGTTAGCAGGGCACCCACCTCGCCCCTCCCCCTTGTGCCTGCCGACACCCCCCTGGTCCCAATTCCTCTTGCGCCTCTTGCCCTCGTCCAAAGGCACACAACGTGTAGTGCTACTCCATCTCCTTCATCTTTCTCTCTCGATTGCGGGCTGCGTCCACGCTTCGTCCCCCTCAATCTCCTACTCCTTTGTTATTTTTCTCAAGTTTATCCTCCCCGTCTTTCTCCTCCTCCTCTTCCCTCTCTTCCCTCCTCCTCCTTTTCCTCCCCCTCCTCTCCCTTTTTCTACTCCCTACCCCTCCTTTCGTTCTTTTTGTTTGTCTCTCTCTCTCTCTCTCTCCCGCTCCTCCCGCTTTTCGCTTCCTCCTGCCCCTCCTTCTTCCCTCCTCGTCCACCTGCTTCTGCTTCTCCTGTTCCTCCTCCCTCCTTGTCCTCGTCCCCCCTCCCCCTCCCCCACCCTCCTCACTCTCCCCTTCCTCCCCTTCCTCCCCTTCCTCCTGCTCCTCCTCGTCCTCTTCCATCTCCTCCTTCTCCTCCGCATCCTCTCCCTCGCCCTTGTCATCCCCCCCTTCTACTCGTCCTCAGGATGGAGATGCAAGTGCAGGGAGGATCGGGAGGAGGGGGAAGACTACGAGGGGGGCCAGTAGAGGTTGGTGATGATGACAATGATGATGCTGCTGCGGTTGATGATTCTGATGAGGATGCTGCTGCTGATGACGACGATGACGGCGACGACACGACGACGACTAAGCTGGTGATGCTGATGATGATGGTGATGCTGATGATGATGATGCTGATGATGCTGCTGATGATGATTCTGGTGCTGATGATTCTGGTGCTGATGATGATGACGATGATGATGATGCTGATGAGGAGGATGACGACGATGGCGGTGGTGATGCTGCTGATGATGATGACCATGCTGATGATGTGGATGATGATGATGATGGGGATGATGCTGATGATGCTGTTCATAATGAAGGCGAGGATGCTGACAACGATGATGACGCCGATGCTAATGGTGATGCTGCTGCTGCTAATGATGATGCCGATGATGGTGATGATGGTGGTGGTGATGGTGATTGTGATTGTGATGGTAATTGTGATGCTTATGAATCTGTTGATGACGATGCTGATACTGATGATGGTGATGACGATGATAATGTGGATGGGGATGCTGATGCTGATGATGATGCTGATGCTGATGTTGATGATTCGGATGTTGATGCTGATGATGCTGATGATGACGATGATGATGTCGGTGATGATGCTGCTGATGCTGATGCTTAGGATGATGCTGCTGATGATGCTGCTGATGATGATGCTGATGATGATCTGATGATGTTGAAGATCATAATGATGATGCTGATGATGCTGAATATGAATATGATGCTGATGCTGATGCTGATGATGTTGTTGATGATGCAGATGATGCTGCTGATGATGCAGATTATGATGACGAGGCTGATTTGTTGTATGATGATGATGCTGCTGACGATGAGGATTATGATGGTGGTGATGCTGATGCTGAATATCATTCTGATGATGCTGATGACGATGATGGTGATGATGGTGATGATGACGGTGATGACGATTTTGATGGTGATGGTGATGCTTATGATTATGATGATGGCGATGCTGATACTGATGGTGGTGATGACGATGCTGATGCGGATGATGATGATGATGCTGAGGATGCTGCTGATGATGACGATGCTGATGCTGATGATGATGCTGATTCTGATGATGACGATTCTGATGCTGATGATGCTGATGATGATGATGGTAATGTCGACGATCATTATCTTGATGATGCTGCTGCTGGTGATGGTGATGATGGTGATGATGATGACGAAACTGATTCGTTTGATGATGATGATGCTGTTGATGATGCTGATGGTTGTGATGCTGATGTTGATGATTAGTATGTTGATGATGCTGATGAGGATGAGGATGACGATGCTGATGCTGATGCTGATGATGATTATGAGGCTGGTGATGATGATGATCTTGATGGTTATGATGCTGATGCTGATGGTGATGATGATGCTGATGATGCTGTTGCTGTTGCTGCTGATGATGATGCTGCTGATGATGATGATGATGATGCTGATGCTGATGCTGATGCTGATGCTGATGCTGCTGATGATGATGATGATGATGATGATGATGTTGATGATGACGACGATGATGACGACGATGACAGAGGGGAGGGGAGCACCCGTGCAAACGGAAACTCCGACTCGGGTGAGCTGGCTCGGAGGCGCTTCACGGTGTACCCACAGCACCCACATTTGATGCCGAAGCCAAGGCTGAAGTGTATAGAAAAAAGAGGGCCCAACCTGCAGGTTTTGTTGGCAGCACATCGTTGAGCGGTGCTGCAGCCTTCCCTGAGCACAGGCCCTCCCCCCCAGAGCATCAGCCAGACAAATCGGGTTTGCACCCTCATGCCTTGCTGGACTCTGGGCGCGTTTCGGCAGTGCCACTGCCGCCGTCACCCCCTCGTCGGGGCTACAGGCTCAAGGTGACGGCGACAGCGACAGTGGTGGTGGCCGACGCGTCCAAGCATGGCGGCGTGCAAGGCCAGACTGCGAGGAGTTCGATATCCTCTGAGCCGGGCGGGGGGAGCAACATTAGCAACAGCAGAAAGGGGAGGCAAAACCGACCATGAGAGCAATACAAGACAAGACGTGACGATGACGAGGATGTTGGCGGTGATGGCGATGATGATAAGGATGCTGCTGGTGATGATGGTGGCGGTGATGATGATGATGCTGATGCTGATGGTGATGCGGATGCTGCCTTTGTTCATGATTTTCATGACCGTGGTGGTGACGGCGACGATGATGATAACGATGCCGATGACGATGAGAAGGAAGCGGAGGAGGATATGTTGGAGGGGAAGATGGATGATGGTGATGATGACGCTGATGGCGAAGATGACGATGACGATGGCGATGACGATGGTAATGATGATGGTAATGAGGAGGACGATGCCGTCGGAGAATGGAGAGGGGGATGTCGGCGACGACAGTTAAGATGATGCTGATGTCGTTGATGATGAATTTGGTGATGGATATGGGTGCGATGATGATGGTGCTGATGATGGCGATGACGATGACATTGATGTTGATGATGATGCTGATGGTGATTACCACTACTTCTGTTATAATGATGGTGACGAGGATGGCGGCACCCATGGTGATGTTGATGACGCTGATGATGCGGCTTATGCTGTTGATGATGATGGTGATGATGGTGATGAGGAATGATGGCGATGTTGCTGGTGGTGATGATGAGGAGGGTGCGGCTGATGATGATGATGCAGACGGTGACGGTGACGGTGATGGTGATGATGATATTGCTGAATACCATGTTGACGGTAATGCTGATGATGCTGCTGACGATGTCGATGATGGTT